GCAGGCCTGTTCGACGGTTGTGTCCGTGGTGAGCACAAATGAAAATGTTTTGGCTCTTCGGAGTGAAGCGGCCAAACGAACCAGACAGCCTACCAGTCCACCCCTTTCCAGGCGGGATCCGTGTCCTGGAGTCGGGCAATAACTTTTCCCTCCGTCCCACAGACCTCTCGGCGGTGGCGGCGTTTCCCCACTCTCCTTAGCTCGCCCCGAGTTCCTCACAAGACGAGCAGTCCTGCAATCTCCGCTCCAACGGGCTTCTTCCTCCTCTTCGCGGGGTGCGCCGGCGTTTTTCTCCGCTCCACTGTTTGCAGCGAATCCCCCCACAAGACGGGCAGTCTTGTTACCTCCACGTCCACCAGCCGCTCTCCTCTATTCCCGCGCCAGAGTTCCCGCGCCCGCTATCCCGCTCCCCCCTCCCCTTTCCCTGATTGGTGAATATAAAAACAGTACCCAATCAAATCAAAGTTAAGGGAAACAGAAACGTAAAGCACACTTATGCAGTGCCTGCATCAACGCAGCACTTACACCCCACCCTAACCATAATCCACAAAATAAAAAGAATCTAACACCGGACTACACATGCATACCCTCTGTTTGAGGGGTAGGATAGTACATCCTAATGAAAATATTACCATTACACCACCTAAGCCTACCCTACACATTCATCCTTATTAAAAGCTTCCATAATATATTTTGCTGAGTTCACCACAATGAATTTGGCTACCAGAATAGAGTAATAACATCAGAGTTATGTTCAAAAGATCAAGCACAGTTCCAGTTCATCACCCATACAAGGCATTTGCAATATTTGGAAAGATCCATCAAATACATCTTGAGTTATCTCGCTCACAGGTTCAAATGTCTGACACTGTTCTTTACTGTGCTATCCCTATCCCTGCTTCAGATTAAGGGTGATCTGTCTCAAAATTTAATCAGTTCCAGTTCATCACCTTCTACGTCTGCAGAAAAGTTTGAAAAAGGTCTGTCAATTACTTTTTGAGTTATTGTCTTAACAAGAAACTGTCTGCAGGTGTGGACCGGTTCCAAAAACATATGTAGCATATGAGAAACCAAAAACAGCAGAACCATATTGTCCTGTGACACTGCCAATCACATTTTTATAACCTCTTTGGACAAATTAAATCTAATACCAAATTTTTTTTTAAGAATGTTCTTTCCCTTCCTTCTTAGATAATATCTTAGTCACTCCTGGGATTTGATATTCATGTGAATACTACACAATGCTATTTTAGGACTGGATGCATCTATAACAGCTTTGACTGTTCTAAATAGGAGTCTTTTGTTGACAAGTTCAAGTAAAAACATTTCCAGTAAATGTGTGCTTTCTTATTTCTTGTTTGATCAATATTCTAGCATCCTGTACATGCTGCACATGGGCCAGGGTTCTGGTAGCCAAAGTCCAGTAAAACATTTCTTCTAACCTGTTCAAGCACAAGCAAATGAGTATTGGTATTTAGCTTTGTGGAAATCACCCTGCATCACTAGTTAATCTCACTCATGAACTTCTTGTGACCCATATAACTGAACAATTGTGGATTCAACATACAGTAGAATGCATAAGGTGCATGTGTTAAAATACAAAAGCAATAATGCTGATTTAAAGCCTGAATAGGCTTTAACAGGCCAAGTTCCATTGTCTGTGGTGTTTTGATAATGGTTTGAGATGTTAAATGTACTATTTTAAATGCCCCATCCTTTCTCAGAATGGACAGCATGAATGTGTGGGTTTGTGTCCCAGGTGGGTGGAGCTGGTGGAGCCACTGGGGAGAGTGTAGCAGTGACTGCGGGGGTGGGGTTCAGACAAGGAGTCGGACATGCCATGCATCCCCAGACCAGCCCCACCTCTGTCAGGGTGTGGTTGAGGAGGGCCGGCCCTGTAACCCACAGCCCTGCATTGGTGAGTGCCTAACTTACATTTTTGCTTTATTTTTCTTTTTAATTCTACATAGTTCCTTCTCAGCTGTCTTATCAAAATCAAAGGCTGCCAGTGGTGATATGCTGAAACACTCTTCGAATAAAGAGCTAGTGGGAAAATCAGATTGAAAGAAAAAATCCTGTAGCCAGAGGCAGTCTGCAGATGTTGTGTGCTTTCTTATTTCTTGTTTGATCAACATTCTAGCATCCTGTACATGCTGCACATGGGCCAGGGTTTTAGGTAGGAAATGGCTCACTGGTGTCTCGGTTGTTCTGAAACTGTAAACTGAAACCTATAAAGCTTCATTCAAGTTTTCATGGACATTATTAGCAATTTCAAATGGGAAGTTGATGCAAATTCTGTCCATTCACATTACTCCTCCAGTGTTTTGTTTTTTGTTCAACCTGTATTAAAAGGTAAATGTATGAAGTGTTAATGCTTAATAAATAATGCGTGGTCATATGATTTTGCAGACTGGATCAGTCCAGGGGCTCCATGATTTCTGTTGCCATGTGTTTCTGTTTTATGAACAAGATCAATGTAAGCAAAAATGCAGGATGGCCTACAGATAACCCTCAGTGAGAGTATGTTATGGGGGAGGTAAGGCCACCACAGCATTTTTGCTAACTGCCGGGCTCACCCTAAACCACAGGCAAAGTACGCTACACCTCCCGGAGCCAGTCCCTTCGTTCTATTGACAGCCGTCGCCGGGACGATGCTGACAAGCCTCGCTATGGTCTTCTAGCTCCTCAATCAGGTATGATGAAAGTTTGAGATTCCATATATCAGTCTCAAAAGGGAGACTGATTTTTTAAAGCCAAATCTTATGTCTAACTTTTATCTTATTGTTCTAATGTTTGTTGTTCCATTAAAATGGAATTCAGTCCTATCTGCACAAAAATATGTTGATGTATCCATGTGCCATTTTTATATACAGGGTGGGCCATTTATATGTATACACCTTAATAAAATGGGAATGGTTGGTGATATTAACTTCCTGTTTGTGGCACATTAGTATATGTGAGGGGGAAAACTTTTCAAGATGGGTGGTGACCGT